GTTGAGCATTAATTTTTTTACCTCACATTGTAATCCGTAGAGAAATTGGCTAATAGGTGCAGCATCATCCCACTTAATATCAGTTGCAAGTTATCAAAATTGTGAAGCATATAACATTACTGATCCATTGTCTTGTCATAAAATACGGATCTTATTGATTGCAACACGAATTGCATCATATTCTCCATACATGGATCGAAACTCCGCCAAAAAAGCCTCTAGATTATCCAATATTGGATCTCGTCATTGAAGAAAAGATGAAAACCATGATAGTGCCAAACCTGAAAGAAGCATACCAATGAATCTAACTTATGATCCTGGAGTTGGATAGCTTTGGGGTTGAAGTTCAATCATAAGTTGCACTTGATTGATAAATCCTCGAAACTTAGATCTGGTGCCATCAAACTTCTCAGGTAGGGCAATTCTTGGTTCTCTAACATTTGAAGGGCGTTCCACCATAGGAAAAAGGACATGGTTTGGTGCAGATGTTGAAGCAGCTCCAACCATTTCTATATCTTCACTTCCTGCCAATCTTGTTGCTCCTTGTGGTGGTAAATTGAGTTGATGCATTGCAAGCATTAATTCCCTCAATTGCTCTTGCATTTGAGCCATTGCACTCTTCATTTCAAGAAGTTCTGCCATGATAACACTTAGAAGAGAGAAGATGTCTAATATCGTGCAAGACAAATAGAAGAGAGGACTTGTGGACAAAGAAAATACTAAGGACAATATCAGTTTAGAAGAGGGTAATCCGCAACTTCTAATACGCTTATATCTTATCAAGAAAAAGGGGTAATCCACTCTTAATCAAGATTAGACAAAGCTCTCGTCAATCTGTCAAGGACAAGAACTTGATAAAAAAATAATTCAGACAAGTGAGCCTTCACTCAAAGAAAGGTAAAAAAATATAAATAAACAAGTATGTATATTGAAAGAGAAACTGGAATGGCTATTGCCAAAAGACAAGAAAACTAGAGACCCTTGAAATTAGACTGGAAGCAAGAAAGGAGTTGACAAGAGTGAAGAAGGCTTCACTCTTGTCTCTATATATACTATCTAACTAGAGGCTACGTGGCGACATTCTATAGAACCTCCAATATGTGTTGACTTTGTAGGGCACATGCCTTGACTTACAAGGCAAGTTTTTCTACGTGTGGGCCACATAGTTAGCTTGATCTTCAAGCTAACAACATGTGTGGCACATGGCCAACTTGTTGACCACGTTTTTAATCCAAAAAATCAATTAAAGACACCTATGAAGTCAAAGTAGCATCTAAGAAGTTTCTAGGAAGCTTCCATATTAAATATTATAGAATTAACTTACTTTTACCTACTTTTACTTACTTCTACCTATTTCTATATGTAATTATTAGCTTACATGATTATGGCCGTGACACTACCATAGGCATGGAATTAGTGTTTCCTTGATTGACATTGGTAATGTGTAAAATTTCCATCCTTAGAGTATTGACAAATTTGTAAAAATGTGCAATAGTTATAAATCTATTCTCAATTCCATCAAGTATAGCATTCATAATTTTTCCTTCCATTTCAAACAAATTAATAAATCCACAAATTAAATTAGAGGAGGATAATTTGTAACCTCTAATATCAAATTAAAATTTCTACAAGGAGAGATAATCTTTTTTTTTAAAAAAAAAATAGTATTAGAAAAAAAAAAAAAAAATTTAAAAGTGGGTAATCTACAACTTTCAAAATCTAATAATAGAAGTAGAGTGAACTATTTACTTTTAAAATAAGACCTCAATAATAAGTTAGCATTCTTGTCAAAATGTCAAAGAGATGAATTTCAAAGAAAGAAAACTTCAATACGCTCTTGTATCACTTAAAAAGACTAAAAAATCACTCAAAGATATTATAATATTAAACTAGAATGGTTATTGCCAAAGACAAAAAGACTAGAAAGTCTTGAAATAAGACTAAAGATTAAGAAGGTATTGATAAGAGTAAAGAAGGCTTTATTCTTGCCTCCATATATACTTTTAACTAGGAGCTATATCGCAATATCTTATAGAACCTCCAAAACATGTTGACTTTGTAAGACACATATCTTAACTTATAGGCTAAGTTTTTTAATATATGTACTACATAATTAGCTTATTTTTCAAGCTATCAACATGTGATTAACTTGAAAAATAAGCTAATTATATACTGTTCATATAAAAAAAATCAAGTTTTTAACCTACCAATCAACTACAAATACAAATAAAGTCAAAGCAATGTTTATAAAGCTTCTACAAAGCTTTTCTAAAAAATATTATGAAATAAATCTATTTTTATTTATTGTTACTTAATCATATAAGTTAATATTAGAGTAAATATATATATATATATATATATATATCTCCATGACATTATATAAATAAATTATTTTTTTATGAGTGTTGTTATGCCACCTACAAAGTTGTCTATTGTTGTAGAGTATAGTGTTCCATTCTACATGGATATGCCTTATAGAAAGCCAAAGTGTTGTATTTTTTCAAGGCACTCATCTAGCAATAAGATGTATTTTTGTAGTAATAAAATATTTTGTATGGATTGTATTTTTCTAAAGAAATTTGTGAGATCTCTATTTTTTATATTCTTGGAATATTTCACTGCATACATCACACATTGCTTATTGTACAAGGCAATCATTAAACCCTCAATTTGCATTACTTTATCTATCTTTGAAGAAATGGAGACCTCTTGTTGCTCTTCATTGGGACAATTATCCTATGATATATAGATCTCTAAGTATTTGTATGTTGTTGCTAGTGGATATGGACCAAATAGAAATAGGATTTCTTTTGATATAAATTGACCTTGTAATGCATTGTTATTTATTTCTGTAGTTAAGTTGGTATCCACAAAGGATAGAAGAGGGATCCATTTGTATACTAGTGGTAACTTAATGGAATAGATGTCGTCTCCTTGTACAATCAGTGTCAGTATATTGCATATTGAGAGATTACCAAATGAGTTTATTCATGTATAAATCCACCTTGCATTGAAGAATGTGTAAAGTGGATTGTATCCTTTGTTCTTGAGAGTCATGTATAATCGTTAGTGTAGCATTGTTGGTGAGATGGATTTGGATACTTTCTCCTATCCACTTGTTTTCCTCCCAGTGTAAGATTAAAGAGTGCAATAGGTTGTTTTTCCTGTCTACTATGTGATCCATAAGAATCTCGTATCTTGATTGTGTGTCACAATATAACATTGGCATTACCACTGCCATGTATTTCTAACTATGAAGTATGTTTTCCACTCTGAGTGCTCTCCATAAGCTTCTTTGATTCAGTTTGTTCTGTATCCATATCTGTCCGTGGTTGTTGTTGACCTTGTGTAATTTTCCTATTTTTGTACAATTTTGTGTATAGGTTGCCATACAAACTTGTTAATGTTGTTGCTCTCTCCTATAAGTATTTGTATTCCAATGCAGAAAAGTGTGAACTCAACTCCAAACTAAAAACATGAATAGAGGCAGCATGGAAAAGGTGCAAATGAGGTGTGGCACATCAGGAGAGTGGGAGGTGAGAAGGGGCCACAAAGTGTGAATTGGTTGTGAGTGTTCATAGGAGAACATGCTTTCTCACATGGAGTTCTAAGTATATGGTTCTTCAAAGTGTTGAGGAAAACGCAGCGGTGACTTACAGGGATAGTTAGTCTCGGTATCCTTCTGGGTTGGAACGGAGAACAACTCACTCATGGCGTGTGAACTTGAAGCGGGCTGCGGGGGCAGGGAAGGGTAGAGCCTCCCTCCCTCCGCTGTCGCTCTGCTGGGCTGCGGTGGTTTCGTGGCCGCAGCGAAGCAGAGTTGTGCGAGATGCTGCAGGGAGGGAGGACACATTGACGCGACGGAGAAAAGGCGAGTGCGATGCGGTGAGCGTGGATCGAACACGCGACCTTCAGATCTTCAGTCTGACGCTCTCCCAACTGAGCTATCCCCGCATGTGTTTTCGCCCGGGTTCGAACCGGAGACCTTCAGTGTGTTAGACTGATGTGATAACCAACTACACCACGAAAACTGCATCAGGACACACCTGCCGCAGCGGTCGCGCCCGGACCCTCTCGCCATGATGACCGAAGGCGGCTGCCCGGGTTAACCTCGTTTTCCCGCAAGCACTCCAGCGACATTGGGCCGCGATCCCTTCGCATCTGTGACTCCAAGGCTCACTGCGCACCCTCCAAGTGCCCACCTGAACAGTAGTATTTATTGCCAGCGGGCTCCACCACCCTCCTCCAGAGACGGAGGGAAGCCTGCCTCACCCTCACACACAACCCCAATCCCAACTCCAGCTCCCATGAATTCTCATCTCCTCACTTCACTCCCATGAACAATGGGAGCTCATCTCTAGTCCTTGATTTATTGTTTGTTTAAATTCCAAATTCTCCACCTAGAAGTATTTGTATTTTAATGAAGAAAAGTGTGAACCCAAAAAGAAAAAGAAAAAGATACTGAAATTATAAAATATTACGCATTATGGATAATAACCAGAACAAATTTCTTTTTTCTTTTTTCTCCTCTTTTAATGAGCAAAACGAGAAGTCCGTTAACTTTTATAAATGCAGTAGGAAGTTCAAAATGCAAGTGAAGACAGAATTCAGAAAGATTGAATGTATGGAGTAGCAAAGGGAACGGTGGGTAGGAAAAAGTGAAAGCTAGTGAAGCATTCACAAAGCTAGTCTGGCTTTTGGTGACCTCAAGCTTTGCGCGCGTGATTTCTTCCTGATCGTCACTAGCTCTTGTTGCAAATCAATCTTGACGACTGACGGCGAAGGAGGACTGCGTTTTGACTCAGTTGAGCTTTGTCGAAGTGCAAGGAATCGCACATTCCAAAACAATTGAACAAAGAAACCAACCAAACAAAGAGCAAATTCAAAGCATCCACAAGAAAGGAACTCACGAATTGTTGCGTGCTATGAGCATCTGATTGCTGGAAACGATGCTTCGGTTGTTTGGTACATCTCAAATTTATGAGAAATGAAAAAAAAAAAAAAAAAAAAAAAAAAAAATGGTACAAAAATCAAGGCCGCTGTTAGAGCCAGAATGAGGCTCCAGAATGATTATCTACAAGCCGCGTCGAAAAAGCCCGCTCCGTCAGCTGAGATCGGTCGTCTACATCGGCAGAGTCAAACTATTGCGTCTCGACGGTCCTGTTGATGGTGGTGGCAGAGGAGCATTGCCCTTCATCACGTCTTCACAAGCTTGTTCCAACATTGCAAGAAAGTCTCGCATGACCATGAATACTTTCAAGGGCTGTGTGCTCTTCGCTGTGTCTGCCTCTCCGTAAAAATATACACTAATGTCCTTTGCACTCGCTAAGACTATCTCTAAATCCTTCTGAATCACACTCAATTTTGCCTCCGCGTCCTCAACGAAGCCCGCCATTCTGTCGCTAAACACATCGTCGGTTAGGTCATACGTTGTGGTTCTAATTCCGATTCCGACCCCCTCACTAGGTTCATGCAGTTTCTCCAGCGTCGTCTTCATGTCTTGGAGTCCCGTTTGGAGCCTACTTACACCGAGCCTTATTGTTGAGATATCCATACCGCCGGCCTTCCGGACGTGATCTAACTCATTTGGAATTCCTCTCACTACATCCATTCCTATTCTCCGGAAGCCGCCTAGGCTGCTGCTGTTGCTAATTTCACTCTGACATCTGTTCAGCTCAGCTTCCATACCTCTTGCGAAATGAGAAAGAGGAGAGGAAGGAGATGTGCAGGTCGGAGACGGGCACAGTGAGCTCCATGTGCTTGATGGTGTGGAAGAGTCGTGGAAACCGGCTAATCGTGCAGCTCGAAAGGCTTCTGCTTTGACGATCTCCTTGATAAGGAAGTGCAATAGTGTCGTCTTCCCGTCTACTCCCTTCACGTCCGCGAGTTTCAGTAGAGTGTCCAACTTGAAAGCCTTGGCGTCCCCTCGAAACGTTCCCGTATTGAGCCGGTTTCCTGTTTTTAAGACTGCCTCCAGCAGTTTCGTGAAGGTGCGGCTACTCTTCAGCTCCTTGCAGGCCATCTTCACCATCCAACGTGGCAAAATTAGAATTAGGCCACCCCAAAAATTGCAATACGCAATTGAATTAGACGGGGAAGCTCGACAACACAAAAATACTAATTCATGGCGAATTTTGGGTGTTCAGTTGAGAGTTAGGAGGCGCCTCATTACCTCGAGTGTAGTTATTGTACATTGAAGTTGGGTAAGCTCTTCGCTAAACGATGCCCTGTATAGCATAGAATTAAGGCGCTCAAAAGCACTCGGAATTTGAAGTATTCCCTGCACAAAGCGATCTGCGGGACCAAGTAATGTTGGGTCACCGTGATAGCCTTGAAACTTAGTCATCTCATCATCCGTGGGAGCCATCTTCACAAGGAGCTCCAAGATCTCCTGACTCAGACCCTCGCCTGCAAAATTGAGAAACTTCATCTTCGTCATTATAAACGAAGCTGAATAAGATTTGATGTTCCTGTCATCAGAATTAGAGCTTCATACACATTAACGTTGCAAAACATGAAAGAAACTCACCCTCTAGTAAAGCATTGCGAACTTCTATTCTTGATAATCCCCGCGCACGAAGCTGAATGGCAATGTTGTGAGCTTTTCTTGGATAAAGCATTTCAGCCCTCTCAATTGTAACTGTAGACGCAGACTGCTTGGGACCTTCGTCTTCGGAGGCTCTAGTTGTCACACCAAACATATGTTCGATCATTTCTTCATCAAGCCTGCACACAAGACGAGAACAGCCAAGGAGAAAACATATAAGTCCCGATTTCTTCCGTGTGCCTCTTCCGTAGAACAGTACCAGGAGTCACATTTAGGAAATTCGGAAGACTTACTCCATTGAGTTGGTGATATTGTCCCACACCATTGATTTGTGCGACTCTGGTTTGAGCTTTTCCCAGTGGAGAGGTCGCATCTTCTGCGGCTGTTTTGGTGAGCGACGATTAATTCTAAAACCCTCTACGTTATCAGCTCCAAGATCAGGTCGTCCAGGTAGTATCAATGCAGCCAGCTTTGGTTTCGATGCACTACTCGGCATTACAGGGGGTGGAGGGGATGGAGGTGGAGTGACACTCTTGCGGGGCAGAGTTGGGAATGGAGGTATAGGGGATGGAGGCGGTGTAATCTTCCTCCCGTCCTGTGGACATTCCGGAGATACAGGCGGTGTGAGCTTTCTTTCCTCGTGCGGGTTTGATGGAGGAGATGGTGGTGGTGTGAGTTTCATCGGGTCGTCCGGAGCTGGAAGATTAATGAACTTCCTGCAGGAGAGAGTTGGCAATGGTGGAGGGGGCGGAGGAGGTGGGGGAGGTGGCTGAGACGAAAGATCTCCACCTTCGTTGAAATTTGCATGCGACAACCCCGAAGAAGGAGATCCATCTGCACCAAGTGTAGAAGATGGGGAAGATGGAGATGTGGATAGAGTAAGAGATGTGGCAAGAAGAAGAGATTGGGTGTGTTCCTGAGATGGAGGAGCAAGAGGAGACAGAAATGGAACAGGAATAGGAGGTGGGGGAGTAGAGGGGCAATAACTTGCAATCGCCCACTTCGATTCCGCCTTCTTAGATCCTTTCAATGTTCTCCCATGCTCATCTGCCTCGCCTAATGTCGCAGGAAGCGGCAGTAGGGGGGGAGGGGTGGAAGGCGGAACAATGAAAGTAGGGTTATTCAAAGCTGCATTGCTTTGAACAGACAGCCGAGACGCTTTCCAACATGATACCCGAGCCAGCGGTGCAGGAGCGAGATTGTCACCAAAAGCAGTGGAAGAGTATCTATGAGAGGGAGAAGATGGCAACGCATGTGGATGCGGCGTAAGAGGGAAAATGACTGTGCGCGGTGCTTCCGCCCTATTTTCTCCTTTCATGTTTACGCTTGTGTCGCGTGACCCTTGCAATGATCTATGGTGGAAAGCGGGAAGTGATAGTGTTCGTGATTTCCATCCAATTTTACTCCGCTCCTCCTCTCTGGCTGGTGATGCAGCAATGGTGTGCGATCTGTTGAGAGTTCCCAGTAAACTCGCCGATTCGCTCTCCGAACGCCCAACCTTCGAAGCAACCTTTTCGCTCGAAGGTATTTTGGTTAGAAAATCAATGTTACCTAGTTCTGCTCTACTGTATCGCACTCCCATTTTCTCCCCCTTGTAGAACAGTTCGTCAGAGAAATTCTCCTCCTGTTTCCAATTGAAATCCCCCGGTAAGACCTTGTTCCTAAACCCCCCTGAGTCCTTCTTCCTGAAACCCTCGACCACATGCTTGTCCCTCGTGTAGACAGGTATGCCCTGCTCCACAATTCTCGCTCCAGATGTTGCGTCATCCCCATCATCTCCTCCATCGAACTTCTTCGACGCCGACTGACTCGCAAGCGCTCGCTCAAAATCTGACAGAATCTTCTGTCCTGTCTTGCTTGGTATTCCTTGTTCCTCATCAACCTCGCCTTCACGATTGAAGTTGGCCTCATTTTCTTCGTAGAGATCCCTATGCTCCTGCAAGGCTTTCTTGTACTCTCGTTTCTTGTACCAGAACCAGATGAGGGTTATTACTGCGACCACGAGAAATGCTACGAGCACACCTACTATGGCAATCCATGAGATGTCTGACGATTGAGTTTTGGCTATGACCAACGTCCCCTCCGGAGATGATGCAGAGGGCACGAGATATGCAGGAGGTGGAGACAGGACTGGGGTAGTGGCTGGAGGTGCAGCTGACACATTAACAATAGCTTTGGCTGGAGCCACCACCGTCGAATTAGACATATTAGACCTTCCAGAAATATTCTCAACCCCTCTTGTCATAATTCGTCACCCCAACTGCATATCGTAGAATAGAAATCAGATCGTTAGAAAATACTCGCACAGCTAGCAGCTGTACATAATCGTCATAGGTTTTGGGTGCGCATTTACATTCTAATGCACTGAATGCGAGGTTTGCGAGGCGGAGCAAGTGAGTACTAATTTGCGCACCTTTCGGGGCATGGCAAAAACCACGACGTACCGCCTGACATACTCCACCAAAAATCATCCCTACGGTCACAAGACACGCTCATGTCAAGACAATTAATTCCGAAGGGTGTGGGAGGAAGGTAAAACAAGCTCCACACATCTGAGTACCGTTAGAAGGGTTGGTGTATGGTGACTCCATGAACATCTAATTCACATTCTAGTGAGTCTATTCACTCCATGTGGGTAATACGAAAGCTGCTATTTCTGAATAGATTTCCAAGTTCTAAACAGAAGCATCCTTCAAGCATCGCCATTGTTTGGAGGGACGAAGAAGAGCTAAAACTGAAGTTCAAGTACATGTAACCACTTTCGTAAGCTGGCGACCTTAAAGCACGATGCCATCGACAGGTTCAACTAGAGACATCGCTCGTAGACTCCATCGAGTCAGTCCTCGGGGACGAGTATCTGCCTAAAAGAATAAGTGGCCCTCAAAGCACGTAGGACTGTGTTGCATTGATTCATAAATCCTTACCTGTTTCTCATTGCCGTTTACCACGACGAAAATCATGCAATGTTTGACTATGTACTCGCTCCGGAGCCCCAAAATGCTTCCTCTCACCGGCAACCAGAACACCTAGTCTTAAGGTATGGAGGAGGATCCGAGTACGGGAGGGACTTCAGCATAAAAAGACTTATTCTTCATGTTTACAATGAAGTAGGAGATGAGAAGAAGATAGAAATTCACCTGCAGAATTTAGAGTGCCGACGATCACACGTCGCAGCGACTACAGAATATCACCCAAAGTTTGAGCAGGACTATCGCCAAGAACGAATTCATCTCAGCATCCTTTCACCAGACTCTTCCCTGCCGCCGTCACTGTCGGCGCGTGAACGCGTTTCAGAAGCGTAGCATCAGAAGCAAAGTTTGCAAGTCAGGCTCATGTTCACTGACAATGATACAGTTTTCTTTCCATCCCTCTCTTCACAAGGTGCTGTTACTTTCCCCCCACGAGGTGCACTCTCGCTCTCTCTCTGGCGCGTCAAGAAATTATTTAATCTTACTTTTTCCAGCAATAGAGGGGTACGACAGCCCTGCACTTATTGACAAAGTCCTAGCAAGTTTTTATGTGGCTAAAGTCCGGTATCGGTCGATCCATGCTCATCAATAGCATGAGCAGATAGGCACTTGAACAATGGCTTTTCGAGCTACCTCTTCTGGAAGGGATAGGCTGTTCTTCGGACGCTTTTAATATGAGGCGCTTTCCAATTGGAAAATCGCCACCCTCGACCGTCGACTCTTCCTCAAGACCATCCATGCACCAAAGAATCTTCACAAATTGGTGGATCCTGAAGAGACGGATTACGTTAACACTACGTGTGCACATCATCCAGGGCATTTCCACTGGATCATCTGCCACAATGCAGTTGTCATCTTCTGAACACTTCGAAACCATGTGAAACTAGCAGCCAAGGGTAGAACACACGAACTTCTATTGCTGTGCAAAGAAATGATATATTAGCACTGGAGCAAATCAAGCACAATGACAGATTAGAAACTTGAATGCTGTCTGCAGAGTCGACTATTGACAGAGGAATTTACCGCTAAAATGGAATGCTCCCTATCATTAAATTCGAGTTCTAAGTCCTGGAAAATTTTCACCGTCATCAAAGTTACGCAGTCAGCTACTTTCCAAAAGAGGCTACCCAAGTCAACCACCTCTACACAGGACTATAGCAGGCAAGCCATCTACAGTGGAGAGTGCTGTCGTGTTCAGCACATGCCGTTCATTGATGTGCCTGTCGCTTGCACTTTGGAAATTCTACCCAGAGATAGACACCTAGATCTTTACCAAGCCCTGCTTCATTAGATCTCTAGTATATTTCTACAATGCCGAGCTGCTTCTACGGGCATTGATTTCTTGCAGACACTTCAATAAGTTCGACAAGAGAATTGGCCGGCTGTATTTAAAACGTTCATATCTGGCAGTCCTGACCAGTGGAGCGAAAAACTTATCGACTGGACCCACAAACTTGCGCCAACTGGCGGTCATACAGAGACAGAAATTAGCATCGCAACTTAACTTAGAACTGAATTTGTAAGTTGCTCTCGTTCATCCACATGTGGTCCTCATAACCCCACATCCGAAACGGCAAAGCAGTTGGAATAGCTCCACTTCCTTTTTGACATAGTGCGCATGCCCAAAGAAAGCAGCCTCGCTTCCAACATTCTATTGTCCAGCAACCTTTAGCATCTCAGGACCTACAGGCATTAAATCGCATCAGATACTATACAATCGGAGCTCTTGTGCTCCTGCAGAATGCAACGAGAATCCTCGGTTTGGGGCTCTCTTCGTCTTTGGGGTAATGACTTGTGTCTCCCGTGTGCATTTTCCTCTGCTGGTTTTGGCCCTTCTAGGCAAGATCGCGGCGGAACAAACCAGCCTTTCCAAAGGCCAGGGAGAAACTACCACAGACTTGAACCACACATTATGAACTTGCGTACTAAATGTGTTGGTGATACCCAACCTGCGCCCTCATTTCTATACTGACGTCATCTCTCCAGGTTTAGAGTTCGGTGGAACCGCATTACCTTTTAGTACGAACAAGTAACCCTAATTGTATAAATGGCCATGTCGTCTAATGGAAAAACAGTCCATTGTACATATTTATAACATGGTATTCTAGCAATTACGATATTATTAGATCAGGTGAACCTTGCTTTTTGCTTAGTGAGAGAAAGAGAGAAGGTGATAGAAGTATAGTAGAATATGTATCTTAAAGGATAAACATCCAAAATGGGTAGATGGCAAAATCAAGAGAGAAGTCTTTAAACTATGAGATAGGATAGACAAACAAACTATTAGGAGTCTAGAACTACTATGTTTGGAAGTTGAAGATATCTACAATCTTGAAGAGAGAGAACCTATGGAGCACATTAGAAATGAAGAGATCAATCATATCATTTCTTTTGACCATAGTAGGTAGATCTTAGATTGAGACACAATTAGCAAAAGTATAATAAAGAGCACAATTGGGACTCATTATGTCAATTGTAGATAGCTTGATTAGAACAAATTCCAATATAATGATCTTATAAATTCATGAAACATTATTTGGAAAATGTTTAATGGAGGAGACCAATAAAAAATCATATTATTAATAAATAAGTTGAATGGAATATTAATTAAAAAAAGAAGTGACATCAATGCTTATTTTAAGGAAGTTATAGATATGAAGAATTAATTAAAGGCTTTTGGCAAAACCATCACAAACAAGACCTTCATAAACATTGTATTCAATGGATTACCACAAAGTTACCAAATGGTGATTCAAGGCATTATTTATATGACACAATCCACATTTGCAAATATTATGGATAAGCTCCTAACTGAAACTAATTAAAGAGCAGTAAAAAAATAAATATTGGAACAAGAAGAAGCATTGGCAGTACAACTTCAATAGACTTACTATAGAAAAAGTAGACATAGTCATTTTATACAAGGAGGTGACTAAAGAGAAATATGTTTTATTTGTGGAATACTGCAATATTTTGGAGGACTTCAACCTCATATGGTCAATTAATGTTAAAATAGGTCAAGTAGACCATTGAGCTATTTGGAAGCAAAAGCGCAATCATCTATGATTTAGCTATTTGGAAGCAAAAGCGCAATCATCTATGATTTAGCTATTTGTTGATTATTAGAACAAAAATTGGTATATTGATTTAGGAACTAACAAGTACTTCACAGAAGAAATCTTGAACTTCTAAATAATAGACTAACAAATTTTAAATAGATTATTACAAATTACAAATGATAAATTCCATAGGATCAAAGTTTTTAGGTCCATCAATGTAACCATAAGATCTGGAGCAATGCACTTATACAATGTTTGGTACCTACCAATGTTAAACTAAAATCTGATATTAATAGGATTGTTAAGAGATAAGAAAAAAATAGTCATGTTTACTAAGAAATAATGCTTGATATTAGAAAATAGAAACAATGAAAAATTGATAGTTGCAAGAGTAAAGAATAAAAACACTAAACTTTATCAATTCTACAATAAAATAATAGATCTTAAATCTAATTCAATTATTATAGAAATAAATATATAATTATGATATAAAAAGATATAATCACTTACATTATATTGGATTACAATACTTGTCATGAACTAATCAAGTGTAAGGATTCTTATTGTTAACTGAAATTCTTATTGTAAGAAACTTGCAAAGATTCCTTAATGAGGCAATAATAATAAGATCTATTTCTAAAAACTTTGTCTTACCATATTGAAAAGATACTTCAACTCATACACTATGATTTAGTAGGTTCCATAAAGACACCATCCTAAAAAAGTATAAAGTACTTTGTTATTTTTTTTACTAATGTCTATTTTTATAAAAATTGGATCTACTTTAAGTGAAGTAAAGATAAAACTTTTAAATTTAAAAAAAAAATTAAAGTACATGTAGAGAGAGAAACAAGAAATAAAATAGATAATTTAAAAATAAGTAGATGTAAAGAATATTCAACATATGAACTTAATAATTTTCTAATCTATCACAAAATACAAAGACAATTTACTATGACTTGTTGTCATAGACATATATATTTATATAAATAAGAAGTATTAGGTAGAAGTTAAATATAAGTAGATTTGATATTAACTTATGGCATAGCTTAATAGAAGCTTTATAGAGACATGTTTGACTTTATACATGTTTATAGTTGATTGATAGATTAGAAAATTAACCAAAAAATTAGCCATGTATCGCATATGTAGATATCTTGTGGCATAAGCTAATGATAAAGCATACATATAGGAAACTTGCCTTACAAGTTTAAATACATGTCTTGCAAATTGAACACATGTTAGCGGTACTATAGAGCATCACCACATAGTTTTTAATTAGATAGTATATATAGAAGCAAAAGTAAAGCTTTTTTTACTCTTATCAATGCCTTTATAATGCTTAGTCTTGATTCAAGTCTTTCTAATCTTCTTGTCTTTAGCAATAGCCATTTTAGTTTAAAATTATACTATATTTGAGTAAAGTTTCAGTCTTTTTAAGTAACACAAGAGTATATTAATTTTTTAGTCTTTTGAGATTTATGTCATTGATAATTTGATAAAAATCTTAATTCATAGTTCTTATTTTATTTTTAGAAATAAGTAGATTATCTCACTTCTATTCTTGTATTTTGAAGATTACAAATTATCCACCTTTAAACTACTTTTTAGTTTTTTAATACTAATTTTTTTATTTAGAGAGAATAGACTATATCTCTTTGTAGAAATTTTTATTTGATATTAAAGGTTGTAGATTATTCTTTTCTAATCTGACTTATGAATTTATTTGTATTGTCCATGGAAAGAAAAATTATAGATATTATTTTTAATTGAAGTGAGAATAGATTTGCAACTATTGTAAATCTTCATAACCTTGTTAACATTCTTAGAGTCAAAATCTCACATATTTCTAATGTGAATTATAGGAGTACTATTTCTATGTCCATAAAAGAAGTCAACAATGATGTTCAAAGACTATGATAAGAAGTTTTGTAATTAGGAAAAGCAATTAGATCATGTTCATAATCAAATCCAAAAAGCCTTGCTACCAAAATTATGAAAGAGGCAAGAATAAGTATGCTAGAGAAGTTGGACAAAACATGATCAAAGTTTTGAAGGTTACTACAAGAAATGAAGCTCTATCTAAGATTGAATTCTTTCTAATATTTTGATGGATTTACTCAAGTCGGATTTATAGTCGAACATCCTCTAAGTTTTTAGAAGCTTATTCATCCATACTAGAGCCTATGTCAATTGATACAATACATTTTAAAGTTCTTATTGAATGAAAAAAGACTCAATGTCATTAAAAAGGTTCATGTCTATATTATAGAAAATCCAAGCATACTACTCAATATTGTCCAAAAAAGTAATGTAATTAGAAAATGAAGAGTATGGTTGCCAAAGAGGATGATGTGTCAGAAAACAAATTATTCTAGTTATAATAGAGAC